TTCGTACATCGCTTCGCGACCATTCTTCGCGGAGATATGTGAAATTTCAATTTGGTTTTTTTAACGCTGATTTTAAGTGACTCTAATTTTGTTCAATAGTTGCATGCAAACTTCAAGATACAATAACTTCGTCGAAAATTGTCATATCGGGACGTTTAAAAAAGCATTTTACAGGTTGAACCGTCTATTTTTCAGATCGCTACTTAAAAAACGATCTCATAGAGATTTTATGAAATTATACAAACATAAATAAAGATATAAAATCTCAAAATTTTTTACAAAATTTACGGAGTTCCACGGAGTGGACTAAAATTTGTATGCAAATGCGATTTACATCATTTAAAAGAGCGAATCTTTACCTTTAATTTGCTTTTTTACGAAACTCGGTACGATTTTTTTTCATCAAGTTATTCAACGTTGAAGCAAAAGGACTATTTTTGCTTCAACGTTGAATAACTCGATGAAAAAACATCGTACGAAGTTTCGCAAAAAAGCAAATTAAAGGTAAAGATTCGCCCTTTCGAATGATGTAAATCGCATTTGTATACAATTTTTATTCCACTCCGTGGAGCTTCGCAAATTTCATAAAAAATTTTGAGGTCTGATATATCTTCATTTATGTTTGTGTAACTTCATGAAATCTCCACGAGACCGTTTTTTTAAGTAGCGATCCGAAAAGTAGAGGTTTCTACCTGTAAAATGCTTTTTTAAACATCTCGATACGACAATTTTTGGCGAAGTTATTGTATCTCGAAATTTGCCTATTTTTGCAGAGTGAACAGATGTTGCATTAATTTTGTTGCCCAGTATATTTAAATAAATTGACAACCGAGAGTTTAATTTAATAATACTATAATAAAAAGACAATATTTGATGATACATTTTTCTTAAGTAATAAAAATACAATTTTTGGTGCTCTATTCTAAAATATATGTACGCATTTATGTATGTGTGAGTGTATGAAAGTATCATGTAGTAGAAGGGAGAAGTTACGGAGAGGTTAGCGGGAATAAAGAGGGGAGGAGGTTTTGGTGAGTAGATTGGAGAGGGTTCGGCCTGATTTTCCTTGGATGATGATAATATTAATGAAATGGGAGGACACAAAGTGGAGGACGTGATTATAACGTGAACGGACTGCAATGTTTTTATTTTCTTGTACATAGGAGGTTAAAAAGGGAAAAAGAAAGAAAGAAAAGAATAAAAATTAAATAAAAACAAATGAATAATAAAAAAAGAAAAAATGTAATATTGAAATAAATTACCAAAAAAAAAAGCGAAGAGAAAGCTAGAGAATAGAAATATACTGACTTACTATTGAGATGCTCATCGTTGGAGGTCTTCCGGCCAAGATGTGTAAGGCTGATGATGTTTCTTTAGCACTGACTCTATTGGAGAAAAAGGGCTTCGATAATCGGATGAAGCCTTTTTCAAAGGTCCCGACAACTATAGCCTCTCAAAACTCAGAGAAAAATCACTCTGAGGGCTGCGGAACCGCGGTTTTTATACTAATCGCCCCCGATTACTCAGATTCGGATTGGTGGTATAGGTTTCATTAACTAGTAGTAGGATTTTTCTTTGCTCTTGGATTGGTCAAGATCTTGGGGGAGGAAAGGATATTGACCGGAATCTGTAGTGTGGAAAAGTGTAAATTTATTTAGAATGTATATGTACATACGAGGGGGGACCCAAAAAAAACGGGAATTTCGTCATAACTTCTTTATTTCTCAATATTTTAACACCAAATTTTAATCAAAGTATTTGCCATTGACCACAACGCACTTCTCCGAGGTCCACAACGATTCTTCCATTGTTCAAAACAGTTTTTAAATTCACTCATCGGGATGTCCTTTAAGCCTTCCAGCGATTTTTGTTTCATCTCCTCCACAGTGGCAAAACGCTTTCCTTTCATATTCCTTTTGAATTTGAACAAAAAGAAGTCACAGGGGGCTAGATCCGGTGAGTATGGGGGGTGGACAATTGGTGTCATGGCGTTTTTGGTCAAAAATTGCTTCACGGAAAGGGCGGTGTGGGCCGGCGCGTTGTCATGATGGAAGAACCAGTTTTCGCCGAAATGTAAAAAGTTGTTTTACTAAAAAAAATCTCACAGGCGAACCGATGCACTCACAGCGACACAACTTCGCACACTGACGCAGGTGGCGTGACACTAACGGACATGTGGTCAAACAATAGGTTCCCCCACTCTCCCTCCCCACCACAGCGTAATTCCCGGAACTTATGGATCCCTCCTCGTATATTTTTGACAGACTACACTTGTGAGATATTTTATAATTTAGTAATTGACTAACTTTGCTCCTTTTGAGTACTTTCTTTGTTTACTTCAAGGCTACTAGATCCAGGCTACCCGATCATATTAGAAGCACTATGTTCTACACTTTCCATCAAAAGTGGACAGGCACTGTCGTTAATTTTTGAATGCTGATCAAAATTATTTAGAATTCTGATATTTTTTGTTTTTAATATTAGAATTAGTCCGTTAGTACCTTCTAAACTACTATAGTTTCATTATTTGATACACCATTCACTTCAATACTTGGTGATGGATTCGAATACGCTTCGTATAAATTTCATATGGTAAAGTAGAATTTGAATGACTAACTTGTGTTGCGATATATTCATTTGTACATTCTGCTATGATTATCATATTATCTAAGGATATAATATTTGAATCTACTGGAGTTGCATTATCTAATTCAAAAAGTACTAAAGTATCTTTAACATTTTTAATGCTTTCACTTATTAATTCGGCAGCCATACTTTCATTCAAAGATGCTAAAGAAATACTATCATTCAGCAGTGTACTATTACTTTGACTCGTACTTGTATATTCCACTTGCATTGCATTCTCTAAATTTGCAAAAGGTTTGTTACAGTTAATGCATGTAATGATAATAAAAGTCGATACATAGAAATATTTTGTAATTTTGTAAAAATGTACTTGTAATAATTATAATAATATAAAAAAATAATTATAAACTATATTATAAACTTAAAATATTTAAAAAAATCTCTTCAAATTCATTCGATTAAGATAATGAGTCATAAAAATAAGCATGATTATATTTGTTATCCTTCAAAAACAAAAATTAAAGCGTAAAAAATGTATGTATACAGTTTAAAAAAATATGTATACACACACACACACACACACACACACACACACACACACACACACACACAGAGTATTAAAAAATTAAAAAGCGAAAAATATGTATGTGTATGTAGTAAAATAGAGTTATTGAAGTCATACATACCACACACACAAATGCATTTTTTATCGAAAGCCAATATTTTCCATTTCTTTCTATATCCTTCGTCCATAACTTTGTAGACTCTGCCTTTTTGAATTCTTCTAGTATATCATTGGATAAGTTTCTCTCGAAGTTTGTAAATGTTGCTTTTCATCTCCAATCAGCAGACAATGTTTGGAAAATATTTTTTTTAATATTCATTTCTTATTAGTTATACATTTTGTTCAGTTTATTGTAGAAAAAATCTTTATTAAACGTTAATTACCATGGTATATATTTTTTTTACATTGTTATTTATTCGTAATACGAAATTATAAAAAATAAATATTTAACATTTATTCATCATTAATTTATAATAATATTTATTTATCAGCAGTTATTAATTTGCAATACAAATTTTATAAAACACTACTTGTTGGAATGATGAGGGGAAAGAAGAGAATTGTGGGTGGGGGGCGGAGATGGGGGAGAGGTGGGGGAAATTGATCAGTCTTCAATAACCGGGAGAATAGTTTTCCATATTTTATTTATATTGTAGCTATTATCTCTATTTAAATTGTTAGGATGTTTTTGTACCTCTATGGCTTCTTTATAACTTTCTTGGAAAGTATGATGTAATGTTGGCTATTGTGGTCGTCAAACGTTTTGTCAAACAGTATTTTGATGTCCTGTTTGATGTCAATGTTGTGTTCTGATATTTTCTACCAATATTTTCCAACTATTCTCCCGGTTACCGACTAATTTCCCCCATCTCTTCCCCACCCCACCCACAATTCTCTTTTTTCCCCTCACCACTTCAAGCAGCGTAATATAAAAGGAACGGCCCGGAGCAACAGTATCAGGCTGCTCCTTGTTCTGATGAAGTGGACTGCAAAGTTCAAGAAACGTTGGCATTCCAAGAATGGATCTGGACACGGAGGAAACCCGCAAAATGCATAATCTTTATATAAAAAACATCCGTGAAAGCCTCAAGAATATTATAATTTTATAAATCATTTACGTATCATTTGTAAAATTATAATTTAAGATTTACATTATGTTACATTATAATTATTTATTTTCAATAATGATATAAAAAATATTCATTTAACATTTAATTGTTATTAATTTAATATTTATCTATCCTTAAGCATATATTTGCAGTAATAATTTGCAAAAACATTTATTTATTACTTATATAACACTTATTTAATTTTTACATTTTCTTCAGTATTAATTTTTAAAAAACATTTTAAGAAACATTTATTTAAACATTTATGAAAGTTTATTTAATATTAATGTAACATAAATATTTAATTGATCCATTGAATAATTATTTCTTAGAATATACATACACACACACACATATAGAAGAAACCGAGGACAGTATACTCATTTTTCAATTTCGAATTTTTACAGAGAAAATTAAGAGACTTATCGAAAAAATGAATTCTATACCAGTTACTACATACATTTGGCTATCTAATAATATTTTAATAATAAATATAAACTAATAACTAATGTGAAAAAATGCATTTTTCTAATGCATTACATCTGATTCAACTAGCCCCGGGACCAGAGTAAAGTGACTAATGGTGTATGGGGTAATTTGACTAACATTATTAGAATAAAGATTAATGTATATTTCAAGGTATATCTGAATTACATATTAACAAAACATTTATAAAAATGTATTTTAAATACAAACATATTCATAAAATAAAAAATGTATATAACTTTATACTTTTGTTATTAGATAAGTAATTTATTTAATCCGAATTGTCATCCGAATTGCAGTTATAGCAAATATAATACGATATGTTGCTTTTTATGCATTTAGAATGTTTCCACATGCTACATTTCATACATTGTATCCACTCTTCTCCTGAAATACTTTTTATATAACTGTCTGTGCAAACGAGACACATTGCATCATCTATCTCATTCGAGGATGAAGAATTTAGTTTATTCAGAATCTTTCTTGTAACTTTTTCAACCAAAGGATGTTTTCCTTTATTTGAATTTTCCTTACTTTTTCCTTTTCTTGTTGTCTTGCTTTTTTGTTCGATTTCTTTTCTTTTCTTGTTAATTCTACTTTTTTCTTTATTATCCAGCTTATGTTTCATGAGTGCATCTTTTTCTGGCGAGTTTGTATTTATTGCATTGGAACGTTCACGAGTATTTCTTCTTTTTTCTTGACGCGGTCCCGCTTTTGGTAGAGATCCTATATCTTGAAGTGTAACTATTAAGCTAGGCATCGAAGATAGATTGACATTTTTCTGGGTAGCTGAAAGATCGATATTTTTCTTGGTAACTGAAAAATCCATATTTTTCTCGTTAGCTAGAAGATCGATATTTTCCTGGACAAAAAGTTCTCAGCGTTGATAATAGTGGAAATATCTTCTCTATCGGTTATAAGACCTTAAGAATTCACTTTCAGGAAATGTATTTTCATTTAGAGAAGATATTCCTGAAACACGGAAATCTGCCTAAATATTTGTTGAAGTTATCGCCAGAGGTAATGCAGTTTTTACTATTTCTGGAATGTGATAAGTAGATAAACTTTTTCCTGGATTATTAGCTAGCCAGTTGTTACATGCTGTGTTGACTGTATTTTTTCAAAGGTCCATATACAGATTTATCTAGCGGTTGCAACTTATGACTGCAATGAGGAGGAAATAATAAAACTGACTCCATTCTGTTTCAAATAATCAAGTGCAATAAAAAGGTGAGATTCATGGTTGTCAAGTAAAAGAAGAACAGGCTTTTTTTTAGATGATCTAACAATGACGAACAAAATGTTTACAATATTTTATAAAATGTTCTTCTTTCATCCAACCTGATGGATTGGCATCACCTCCAAGAGGGCCTCCTTGTATAAAATGATTTTTGTAATTGACTTTTGGAAATATAAAAAATGGTAGGACCATATTTCCTATAGCTGAAACTGCAACTGCAACGGTAACGAGAGTCCCTCTTTCAGCTGAAGTCATCTTTCCTAATTGCTTCATCCCACGACATGCAACTACACGATTAGGAGTGTGAACAGTAGTAATCCCTGTCTCATCCATATTCCAGATGTCAAATGACTCCATTTTTAAACGATTGTGGACTGTTTTCAAATTTGTGAAGAACAAATTAACATGTTTATTAAATGATGTCACTCTAGAAAGACTTGTGGCTTGTGGTGATCTTATTGATAAACTGTTATTGCGTTTAAGAAAAGATAAGAATTTTCAACTGCCATTTTCTTTTCATTCTAAGAATCTAGCACTTTATTTCCGTTTTTTATTGCAAATTGATAAGCAAATTTTCTTATTTCTCTGGGTGTTAAACTATAATAAATATAATAAATATGCTGCTTTTTCAATATATTCCACTAAAGCAATTTCTTCCGTATCATTCAAAATTTGACGACTTTTGATATAACCTACATGAGTTAATTGAATATTCAATACTTGACTAGAATTTTTTTCTGCAGCTTTTAATTTCGTAACATATCGATGCAAGGTTTTATATGGGATATTATATTTCAATCCTGAAGAACGAACACTTTTTCCTTCTAAAATTACTTCTTTACATGCAAATTCCATAATGTTCTTCGGAATATTTCCTTTGACTTTCTTTCGCTTCGGAAAATCATGAGGACGTACCGCTGCAGACGGCTGCCGCTCAGTTTCCTGTGATATCGCGAGGACGCATCTATGATAAAAGTTATGCTACAATTTAAAAAAATCGTAAGTAAATATTTTCATTCTTAAAGTTTTTGTTTTACAATCGTGTATAACTGTCTGAGATATTTGATTTTATATAGTAAGTGTAGTTCTTACTTAATAAAATCCAACAGAATTTTTTTGTTTATTTGTTATCGTGTACTGTTAATGTTTTTAAAAAATGAACGAATGGGCCTAGTAGGCTAACCACAACACGGGGCTATATGATTAATTTAGTGACGATTCTAATAGTACCTACTCTCAAACTTCTTGGAATGAAATCTCACTCTAAAAGAGTGAAAATACAATCAGTTTTGAAAAAGAGTGAAAATATTCCACTTCTTGAAAAAGAATGGTAATATTTTATTCCTTTAAAAAGATTTACCTCAGTAATAAACGTTATAAGTTTAGTTCCCTCACGTGCAATTTCGATAAAACTAGGCTCATTCGATGTGTTTTTGCACGAAATGAACAAATTTAGCAAAAAGAACCATTGTTCTGCCTTGCGAATTGAAATATTAATCATTAAAGTTTGTTAGGTTAGGAAACTTGTCGCTTCGTCCTAGTAAAAACGTTGATAGAGAAATCCTGTTGTTTTGAATATGAAATTTGGTTCGTAAATTCACTAATTTGAATCAGATCTTATAGGAATCTTGTACAAATCTTATAAAATCTGATAAAATACGATAGGATTTATATTCGATTAATCGTGATGCTCGCGAGGTCAACGATAGAAAATGATATAAACTTATAAAAAACGACACAAATTAATAGAAATCCTATCATTTTCAATTCCATAATTCCAAGTTCCATAAGTAGCTGTATTTTCACTCTCTTTGAGATTTCACTAAAAAAAATTTAGAAAGTATTCTTTACAATATGATTGGAAACAAGACCGTCTATATGAATATTAAGACTTTAAATACAAAGCGCCTTTTCGGTCGAGTGTTAAGATGTTGAACTACTATCTAATATACATTCAATTAAATTGAATTAATATTTCAGAAATAAATTGAGAGCCGATGGATTTATCGGATTCACACAATCAATCTGAAACAAATAATCCCCCCCAAATTCTCCCAAATCTTAAAAAACTGTAATAAACTTATTGCGAAAAATATTGCCTCGGCCGGGAGTCGAACCCGGATCTCTTACATTCCGTGTGAGCGTCCTGAGCCTTTAAAAGTATTCTTTTTTAAATGCACCTATAATGCAATAATTTTTTAATGAATTTTAATAATAAAAATATACAATAATATTATGGTTAAATTACGTATTACAAATTTTTCATACATATCTATAAACATACATTATATAATAAATTATATATAACATTTATACATAACATGTATACATTTATGTAAACATTTATACATAATATGTATAAATATTCATATAAACATATATGTATAATTATATATAAAAAATATATCCATATATGTTCATACATCCTTCTTTCTTTTATAAAATTATAATACTTTTAAGTATAATAGATTAATCGTATATGTTTGTGTATATTTATATATAGGTATTCATGTATGAAAAATTTTTTACCAGATAATATTATAAAATACTAAGATATTAATTTAATTACAGGAAATCATGAGGACATACCGCTGCGGACGGCTGCCGCTCAGTTTCCTGCTGCGTGCTTGGACACGTTTACGCGAGTCTCGCGCTATTTGTTTTCAACGTAGCTTCGATTAATCTACTTACCCCTATAGCCTATTGACCCCGGTCTCCTCTACAATTATTTATCTTAACTTTGGACTCATCTGATCCCACCAAATTATTATTTAAAATAGAAACATCAGAACCAGCATCAATTCTAAAGGTACAATCATTTTATTATTATTTATCTCTCCTTTAAAACAGAAATTCATTGAATTATATTTAAGTCTATTTATCCTGAAAGAACATTAATTAGTGACAAGGTTACATTGATTGTCAATATCATAAGAACATTGTTCATTACACAATAAATATCTTTCGGAGTTCTCTCCATCCCAGTTGAGCTCACCCCAGAACTCGATTATTCCTTGTGATTATTCCTTGTGAACTGAACCGGACATTCCAATCAGAAATGCCTCCTTATCATATTCCCAGCACTCTTTTTCACTTCTATTTCCTCTCTTATAATTCCTCTCTTATAATTCTTTCCTTTTTCAAATTTTGAAAATTTATTTTTATTAGATTTTTCTTCCTTTTCTTTATTAAATTGATTTTCTTTCCCCTTATCAGAGTTGCTAAAATTCTTTTCTTTCTCTTTTCCAAAATCAAAATTATTTTCTTTTTTATATTAAAAACTATTTTCTTATGTAATTAATTTCTATATTAATTTGATCGCTTTTACTCTCCCGATTGCAATTCTCAAAGAGCCCTCAGTTGCCCCTCTAACTGAAGCTCTTTACGAATCCGTCGGATAAAGCAGAGACGAATTGCGCGCACGCGACTTTGTCGTGTATTGAGTCAGAACATTCAGGATATGCTAATTGAAATAGTCTTTCGATGTGAGCCGAAAGAAGCAAAATACTCTCTCCAAATTTCTGCTTACGATTTGCGAATTGAGAATAATAATTCTGTAATGATTGCGCTTCGCCGAAACGTAACTCTAATCTTGATTTTAACTCTAAAAAATCTAAATTCTCTAGGTTTTGTACGCTTTCCAATATCGCGCGCGCATTTCCTTCTTAGCACTTCCGTCAAACGTGTCCGGCTTTAACCTAACGTTTGTTTCCCCACGAAGCGAAACATGAGATTTCACACGTATTCATGTCATTTCCGTTGCCTGCAGAAAATCGCGTAATATAGCGAGGTGAGACACACGATTCAACGCATTCTTGCGCGTTCGTGCCGTTTCCGCCGCCCGATGAAAATTGTGTAACATCATGATCGCGCGCGTTTGCGGTGAGATTTCCGTTATCCGGAAGGACATTATCCGGAAGGACAGGGCGTTTCTGCTGCGAAGTTCCTCTCGTAGCCGCTGGATCTCAGCGTCGCGTCGTCGCAGTGACTCCATGCAGTCGGTCAGCGTGCGCTGATGTTTCTCACGGATTCGTTGCATCTCAGCGTTGCGTTGTGAAGATTCTGCGTATTCGGCTCGTGCGTGCCGTTGCTCCTCTCGTAGCTGTTGTACCTCCTGTAAAACGGCCTGAAGAGCGATCGTCGTAGACACTGCCTGTGACATCCTCACGATTGATCCAGCAGAAGATTGCTCTGTAGCAATAATTCTTCTTTTCTGAGCAGTTGATTCTCGCACAGCACGCATTGAATGTCCAAGCGGACAAGTCCCCAAACTGTGGCGACTAATTCATGAGGTCGCTCTTGCAGACGCGCACACGCACTCCCGAAACGCCGAAATAAAGACATGACAGTTAAGAATAAGAACAAAAATATTATTGATGCAGAATAGAGAACACAGAGAACATCGCGAAGGTACAGGATGGAGCAGATCGCGAGAGAACGTCCGAACGCGCCGACAGCTCACCGACAATCTACCGATTTTGTTAAATAACGGAAGCTCGCGTTGCTTCGGTATTTCGCAAGCGGCGATTCACGGAATCGGCATGGGCATAACACTATAATAGCAAAAATTATTTCAAACGTGAGTTGAGATACAGTTTACGATTTTCCGTATATTTTATGTATCGTGTTCGTAGAGCTGATCCGCAAGAAGTCAGCGTAGTCTCGGGCGTGTGAGATCAGAATGTTGAAGATTTTACGCTCGATCCTGCTTTTTTCTTTTTATAATTTTTTTTTTTAATAAATAACGTTATGAATAAACATATTATTCCAAATATATTCTTATATAATTACATTATACGTATATTTTTAAAATTTAAATCAACAACTAAATCAACAAATCAGTTTGGAAAGATCTGAAGACACGGTAGTGTCTCGGCGCTAACACATGGCACGAGACATTGCCGTGCTCCTTTACGCGAGCCGTCAAGTTGCGTACCGAATCACATCAATAGACAAATAAAAAATTATTTCTATATTGCTTAATATGTAAGGACTTTTCAATTTGTGAACTATAAGATTATATTGACATCATCTTTATAATTTTATTAATCATCTCACTTTTACAACTTTCAGTACGTTTTCTGTGTTGTACTGCGTTCGTAGATGTAATCCGCAAGAACTCAACGTGGTCTCGGGCGTTAGGTCAGAATATTGAAGGTCCTACGTTCGATCCTCCTTTTTCCTTTTTTTTCACAATTTTTTAAAAATAAATAACGTTATTAATAAACATTACTCCAAATACATTTTTATAAAATTATAGAAATTATATGTGTACTTCAGTGTGCTCGGAATTAATTGCACATTTCGAACCAATTTCTGAAGTACTGCCTACTTTTCTCTTCACAACCGCTCAACGTTCGATGACCGAACTGATGGATCGCGAGTGGACGTGTATTTCAGGAGCGTCACAATATAAGAAACATTGCGTCACAATATAAGAAACATCATACCTTCCAGCAAATTATCATGAAAATATTTTTCTTCCTACATAAATGTTATTTTCTTAATA